GCAAAAACATGAAAACACAGTGCAGCCGATATTTTCGAGGTCTGTGATCACTTAAAGTATTTTGAGAACGCACACTGGCAGCCGCACCTATTTTTCCAGTGGCATTTCAATAACAGTTGCTAATAATAAATGAAAGTATAAAAGCAGTGAAAATTTTGATGAAAAAGTCTATCTTTAATCAAATTTTAAACAAAAACGCAAGATTAGTCTGCATTGAATCCCAGTCCGCAAACACAGCTACTGCAGAACTCGTTGCACTGTCTCTTCCATTGCCCCCGTCATATTTACAGCGAATATCTAAACTTGAGATTTGGAAAACTGTTTCATTTTTGCACTAAAATGACGAAGGGTGGGGACATTGACGGCACATTTAATTTCGGCGAATTGAATAGAATAGTAATAACGACTAGCAGTGAATAACTTCCGGTACTTTTTTGCGATTTGAAAAGCGAGAAAAATGTGGAAATTGAGTTTAGTTCAATGCTCATCTCCGGTCCTTTACAGTTATAGAAATTGATACACATTTTTCACCTCGGATAATATCCTTGATCACTAATATGCAAGTCACAATGCAGTGTGACCTTCAGTTACAAGTAAAAGAATAAACATACCAATTGTGGTGCTTGAGGTTAATTTCAAGAGTCTGGGATTTGTACTGGTCACTAAAGGCTTCATCCTCACCGCACTTTGACAATTTGCAACCTATGCATCAAGTCTAATTTCAGACGAGTTACAGCAGATTGTGTGCAGTAAGTCCGCATACAATTTTGCTTCATTTGTTCCACCAGAAAGAGATTGGGATATGAGTTTTCTTGCTCGGTTTTGTCAGCTAAAAAGCGATACTGAATGATATAAGGAAATTTGAAAATTTTAAATCAAAAAGGTACGGTAAAAATTGAAATAAGCGTGGAAGTTCGAAATGAGGAAAAAGTGAATAATAAATGAATTGCAGTAATGGACGCCATACTGTGATCACCCGCTGAGAGTTCGACGAGAGTCATGTTGACAAGGTGACGAGCACAGGCGTTTTTCAACGGAAGTGGACCTGTCGGTCGCAAGGAAATGGAGCGTGGATTGTTTGCTTGGACCACTTTTCTGCAGAAAAATAAAAGTTCCACTGCACGGCATATATAGAATACGAGGTACGACGGTACCAGTGTTACCGTGAAAAAAGGTAATATTCGAGGCCATCATTTATTAGATGTTAGTATCCATGAGAAAGAAAACGACCGCGTGGACGATTTGCAACGCAATGAAGAGCAGAAGCGGGGCAGAAGCGACAGTTAGACCTGGCACAGCTACTCCAGCAACACCAGGGTTTTTAGGGGGCCACACTAAAGCGTCCCCTTCTTTGTTAATATTTTCACATATTATGTTCTTTAGATGTCTTTTACTGATCATCGTGTGCACCAGTGATGTGTCTCTGAACATCCGTGACGTGTAATCCCAACGACAATTAACTGCATTCGTCATTTCGAAAAAATTCGAACAATGCCAATTGGAAAAGTTGTGAAATCGGTTGCAAGGAAATCAGCGCCCAGTGCTAGCCAAAGAGTGCGATTTTTGCACCACCAGCATAATCAAGCTCCAGGCTTAAACGGGATCAGAACTTGCAACAGCTAATCTGTTTGACTGAGCACTGCATAAGTGAGAGCGAGTAGATCGAAAGGGCCGAACGGCAAACTGACAGATTGTCCGTCACTCGTAGTACTACGGACGGAAATACTAAATCAAATCAGGATCCTCTGGAGACAGGTTGCTGGTGAATTCTTGGCATGCGTCGGCGCCAATTTATCACTGAAACAAATGAAACGAACCGTAGAGGGATTGGTTGCGCCACTGGCTGGGTGGAACTCTCGACCTTTCGATTCATGCGAGTAACATCGCTTACCAATAAATCACATGCAAATACGTACACATGCATCCATACAAGTACACAACCACAAACAAAGAAAGGAACACTCAGCATACAGTGAGTTTGTGTGTGTGTGTGTGTGTGTGTATGTGTGTGTGTGTGTATGTGTTAGCACGTCACAAATATGCATTCCTTCATTTGCATAAATGCAAAAAAAAAAAAGCGGAAACAGAAAGAGCCGTTCAGTGCGTTACAGATGTGCAAGTACACCACCAGCCGGACACTTCTTTTTTTAACCTCCGCCGTCTTTTTGCACTCGCCACGTCGCCACCTGATACTTTTGCATCCCCGTGACGCCTTCACCTCTTCTGCTTCCGCGCTGTCAAAGTGCCTCCGCTAGCTTATCAACCCAAAAAGTCTATGTGCGTGGGTGGGGGCGGAGATCCAGCTGACCCCGCCCACCCATCCATGAATTAGCACTGGCGGCGAGCCCCACCCACTCTCGATGATGCACTGACAGCTATTAGCAGGCAGCCGCCAGCCCAGGCGACCGCTATTTCAGCCAGAGGATCGGCTCTCCGAGGTTCAGGTCATCGAGCTGTCGTCCTCCACGATCCTGTCGTCGTCGTCGTCATTACTGTTGTTTCTGTTTTATTATTATTACTGTTATTATTATTATTGTCATTACTATTATTATTGTTGTTATTGTTATTAATAATGAAATAATAATAATAATTCTGTTTGTTTTATAATTGCAAATGTATGCTTTGTCAGTCTGTTGAATGTAGTCCGTCACTGATGGTACCCTCTCGCTTCTACGAGCTTTTCACGAGGATAATTAACGAGAGTCGAAGAAGACGCTTGCTTATAGCAATAATATTGCTGTGCTGTAGCATACTGTGGTGCACCCTTAGATTGTTCAGTCTCCTTTCGTGGATTGTTGCTGAGCAAGGAAATATCCAGCTGAACGTTATGCTAGTAGTTAGTTTGGTGGTCAAATAAGTCCAAGAAACCCAATGAGGCTTGTCGTCGACCACCACATCGTGCTGTTTGCCGTCAAGGCCTCAGAAGGGAGGGACAGGGAATTCCTTGCCACAGCTTATTCTGAGGTGCCACTCGCTGGACTGTTGTGGATTCCCATGTTCTGGACATCAAAAGCGACCAGCTTAAATTAGGCTTCACTCGGCAGTGCCGCGAAGGAGGCGCACAAAACGAACAGGATGATGCAGGAGTTTAGCGCGTGCGGGAAAACTAGCCTGAAAATGAATACGCCAGAAATGCGACTGACGCATGTGGCCTGCTTATGAGACAGTAGTAACGTAAATTTAAAAGAGAGCTGCAGTAACGCAGTGGCGTTGTGACTGCATTCAGCTTCACGTGCTGCAGTGGTTCGACGGGAGAATGCTGCTAATTGTGTTACAGATGAATGAAGGCCCTTACAAGCTTTTCGAGAATGGTCAACGGCTCCAGGCCCAATAGATCCGTTCATATTAAAAAAGACACAATGGGAAAGCCTTCTACACTGATCCTAAATGAACCGGGACTGGGACAGCTGTCTGTGCGCTCAGGTGCGGAGGCGTCACCTCTCTTCAGCTCCCTATCCTTATCATCAATTCAAACATCTGGCAGCTGGTAAATTTTCTTCTGAAAGTGCTAGCTGATTTCCAAATGAGAGGAGTCTCAGCTCTGGCTTGCTCCCTAGGGATTCGCAACTTCATCTCAGGCACGAAATTGGTCAAATGTAACAGTGCAGCCCCAAACAAACAAAAACAAAGCTGAAGTATATTGCTAAGAAGGACAGGGATAATGATAAAGTAATAATAATAAATATTATTGAAAAATTATCAAAAATAATAAGACCATAATATCAGATAGAATAATAAGGATGTAGTAATACTGTAGTAATACAGAATATTTACATTAATGATAATAAATAATAACAATGATAATGATGATGAAGCCAAGGAAGTGGGCTATTGAAGCGTACCGCTAGCATTGGTGCTAGGATTAGGCTTAACCTGATCTTGTTATAGTCCTAAAGGAAACTGGGTAATGCAGGAGCTTTGTTGGAGCTACAAAAATCTTTCACCACCCAATGAAATTTTTTTTTTTTCGCATGAGAAAGCACTTGCACTCGTAAAGTATGAAAATATACTCGTCAGCTAAGGATGTGGAATTGGTAGGGTGAGTCAAACACGGACAAATGAGATATGAAGTTGCCATTTCACTGTGGTGAGTCGATGCTACAACTGTGCTACGATCAGTTACGCGGGCCACATCTGAGCTATAATCAGCCTGAATACAGACAGTTTGAAGAAAGCGAACAGAACTAGGTGGGCATCCACTGGACTGCTAGCTGACAGGGTGCACGTATGGAAAGGCAGTCTGTAGACAGGCGGGTGGGAAATGTGCATAGCACATTTGTGAAAATATTTTTTTTTGCAAAAAGGCATAAAGTGCTATACGTGAAATTATAAAATAGGAGATAAAGGATTGGACTAAGTGCCATGTGCAGAAAAACGTGTTTGGAAGCAGTTTGTGTTTCTTCCCTTAGCTGTAAACGCAGACCGAACACAGTATGCGGATAGGAGTGGGAATCTTCAGTACAGCCTCCTACTGCTGTGTGTATGATGAGCATGTGTCAAATAGCATAAAAATAGAGTAATGAAAAGACAGAAAGAAGACCAGAAAGTGATATGAATATAGGAGGAGGGGTGGGAAAAGAGTTATTTTTAAGCAGTTAACGGGATGGAACAGTATTATTTTTTGTAAGCACTATTTTTCTGATTTCGCCGTGGTGCGTATTGTTTTAGAGAAGTGTGCGGTTTATGATGATGGTAGCAGTGGTATTTTTGCAGGTGAATCGAGGAATCGGAGGGCGAGCCCGGGTCGGCTGTTGCTGCCAGAATGTCGTTGCTTGATTACACGCAGAAGCGAGTTACTGTGTTCCAGAATCGATGCTATTAGGCTGCTACCAGTGCCTGAATTGAATTGCTGCGAAGCGGCGCGCTTTTGTGTCATCAGCTTTTCAAATTGCTGTTGTAAGCGATCTGGAAGTGAAGTTTCGCTGGATTCAAGCGAGATCAGTGAACGGAGAGCAGGCCGGTGCGTGCGACACGCTGCATGCTGCTGCGTATCGCTGTCGATGCAGCCTTACCACTTCTGTTACCTGATAAGCGTGCTCTACGCACTTTTACCTAGACAAATCGAATCGCTGCGCTGCAAGTGCAACACGAATCGTGGCCCGACACAATGCATGTCCGACTTCTGCGATATTCATAGTCGCGACGGGAAACGTGCCGCTTGCGGCGCCTTGCGACGCGCCAAACAGACGATATTCTCGTGTGTGCTGATACGACAGAACTCCAACGACACGTACTGCCACGTGGTAGGCAGCACAACGGCGTGCTGGTGCCGGCAGATGGACTTCTGCAACGCTGATCTAGAGGCCGAACTGTTCGATGTCGATGATAGTACAGACGATTCGGAGACCGATTCGGCCGAACACATTGTTCCACCAGCGAGCTCGAGGCGCAACCAGTACAACGTCGACGCCGCTTTACGACGGATCCCCGTCGAACCACACATATTTACCAGCAGCCCGTACGTCGCTTCACCGTCCGTCGGATTCACTGCGAGCAGTACAACTACTAGCACGACTGAACCCACAACCGAATCGACGAAGGTATGGACAAGCACAAAGAGATCTGTAAAAATGAAGATCAACCCGGCAATCCGAATAGATGTTGCGGAGAAGATAAAGCTGACACCGCAGCAGAAGCAGCAGCCGCCCACAGTGATTGCAGAAACAGCTATTTCTGACGATTACGAGGATGAGCTGCTCGACGACGAGTAGGTCTTTCACTAAGAACTAACTGTTTTGCTGACTGTTAAAAACAGAATCGGGTGCGCGAAATACATGTGCAGGGGACAGTCAAGCACAGTTCCTTTGAAAGAATAGTAAATGTGCAAATGCACTGAAACACTAAGCGTATAGCACATTGCAAAGTGACCCAGCGACCGAAACTGACTTAGTGACCAGAATTACTCACACTTAGAGAATACAGGCAGAGCAGCTCTTCCAGACGCCCAACTCTCGGAGATTTGAGTCACAGACTCATTGTCTCATAGCTTTGCAAAGTTTTTAATGGCGGAAAAACTGGGTGCACGAATGGAGCCTTTTTCTCCTTTTCTCGTATATCTTTGACGTCGTTAAAAACACCCAAACTAGATTCCAATGACATCCAGGAAAACTGTAATAACTACAGGATCACTTGGCGGCAAAAAACGTGCACTTTTAGCCAAAAAAACTGAGAAGTTGAGGTAATTTTCGTTTTTGAAGCTTGAGAATCTGCATTTTTCCATGTTTCGTTTCAGAACCATTTGAAAAAACATCAATTCAAGCTTTTGTCGTTTCTCGAAAAATTATTTGCGTTGAGAAGTCTGTTTGGATTTTGCATATTTTTTGTAGTTTTTTTGAGTGAGTTATTTTCAGCGAAAAGCGATGCCCTTTGCAGAAAGTTTTTAGACTTCAAAGAGTGTTTTCATAACAATATGTAGAAAATAGTGGTGCACTTTTTGTTGTGTGTGTGTGTGTGTGTGTGTGGAATTTGTTTAACGCGAAAGTGAAAGGGCGAATCAGCCGCCGCCGTACTCGCATCCCAGCTGTGCAAAAAGCACTAATTAGTGTCAGAAGGCCCTGCACTTGCCTCGTTACGTGTTTCATGCAAAATGTGATGCCTGCCCACTGATTTTCTCCAGTTCTTGACATGGCTTTTCACTAGAATTCTGTGAAACACCTTGTCATGAACGGAGCATCTCTTTTAGTAAAACCAGAAGAGGAACGGAATTCTCATCCTTACCATCCTAACATATGCTACATTGCCATCCGCACCCTTCATATTAGGGACGGGATAGAACCTTATGTTCAAAACCCTTTCCGTATTTCGCCATCAGTGAGAGGCACTGGGGAAGTAGCCTGAGCAGTGGCAAATGCCACCATCAACCACACGCTGGTAAGGCTATCGTGGCTCCTTCTTCCAAGGGTTACTAAAAGCAAGCTGTTGACGGATTTCATTTCGTGGCATATGCTAGTACCAATTTACCATCGAAACTGATCATAGAGAGATTGATTGTCTCACAGGACGGAGTCGAACCTTCGAACTCCTGCACGACAGCAGTGCTACCTCACTGCGCCATATCTGTCGGCATTTGGAACTCTTATATTTGCCAATTTTTGCGGGGGTTTATATGCCGCTTACCGCTCTTTCTACTGTGCAGGAATTCTTTGCAGTGATGTGTCACAGTCACCATTTTTTTGGCACAGAGGCACTTCCAGCGCTTTACGGAGAATGTTTGTGGAGTTTTCGGACTTTGCGCTATAACTCAAAGACATCTCTAGCATGTATCAGTGAGGGAAAATGCAAGTAATGATAGCATGTAGAAAAGCAGCGATGCAAAGAATTTGCCTGAGAGACCACTGATTCATCGCACTGTATTATCAGAGCGTTATTGGTCTGATAAAAGATGCATGCATATTTCGCTGCATGGAAGTGTTGCGTTCTTACTTAGGTTCCAGCTGCTGCAATCCGCGAAAACGCAGCGCGCAGCCCCTTAACACTACCGCTATTACCTGCGCCACTCAAAGAGAATGTTATTTTGTTCGCAGCACAATGATTATTCAGCATTCACTAATATTTACTCATCCAGATTATTTGATCTTTGGCAGCTACTTTACATCCCCTCTCTCCCTCCATCCCACTCTCTCCCTTTTTCGCTGAAGGCAACTCCTTCCGCATTGTTGACATTTGCTGCTTGTTCGGGATTTGCTTCTTCTGTCCGATGACCACGAAGCGTCCAGTTCGTTTGTGGCCCGGAAAATTTCTGAGAAACGCTACCAAGCGTTATGCAACTGCTTGAACAGAATTAAGAGACATTTCGTGCAGTTCTTATGATACACATAAAATTTTTATCCCCTTATTATTAACATGTGTTTAAACTTATAAAATTTTTTTATAAAAGCTAACTCAACATCAATAATTGAAAGTTTACAAACTTCCTATTTGACGTACAATTATTTCCAACTTTTTCCTCTTCTTTATTATTATTCTTTGAATTTATCCATTTCCACCTTCCTTAAAAGTGTGACATATTTTCTTACATGAATTTGTTTCCTTTTATTTATTTTTTACCAACACCGCAGCCGTCATGTTGACGAGATCCAATTGTGGTGCTGAACAAGAATATCTACGAATTAATGGACCGAAACATCCCTATTTATCCAATCTTTTAATATAATTTTGTACATATGAATATTTTTTGTATGTGTCATAACAAATATCGGTTTTGCGGTCGCGATATGAGAAATGTGCCCTTCTAAAGACTAAAGTTGGCTCCGACAAATTTGCTTATTTTTTAAGGTCAAAATAAAAGCCAAAGCCCTCGAGGCGATAAACAGCTTTCAAATGATCGTGGCGAGCCATATGAAATAGCACAGGAAGTCCTTTAGCTTGGTGCTCCAGGGGAGGTGGATCTCGGGGGTGCTTGCTGTTTTTTAAAACGAGCTTTTGTTAAGAAGCAAAAAAACGGAATCAGTAAACAAAAATAAAAATTTTACTTAAGTGTCGTACATTATTTTATTAATATTGGCATTCTTTTGCCATTTCAAGTATTTCATTGCGAGGCCGTCGGCGTTGTATCGCAAATGTTTTTCTTGCCGGATTTCACCACAGGTCCGATAAGATGTACCAAGAATACCAAGACCGCTCAAATGACTGATGTGGGGTATGTAAGTTTCCACAACTCAATAAAGTGTAAGTGGACTTAAAATGACCCGGTGACCCATTTTACTGCGGTGGTTTGCTTTGAACTCAACAAGCCTACTGATCCTTTCAAACAGAAATCGAGCCGTCATCAGATTATATTGGACGGAGGACGGGACAGCACCACTTACTTTTGTGCAAATAAACAGTGAAGGTCGCACCAAGAGGTTCGAGGGCTCAGGTGCACAGCATATAGTTATGGGCGCGCAGCGGATGAGTCAGCTTGGCTTTAGATCTAAAACCATAAGACGTGATACTCGACTGGTTTTATGTTCAAGTTACAGAGTTGAAACTTTGGGGACATAATCTACATGCATTTACGGGCCCCCATCCCCGAAATGGCGGTCTTACCCGCGTGGTACCCGCGTAGGGGCCCGCCAAAATTTTTTTCGGGTAAGTTGATAACTCGCGAACCAGAAAAGCTAGAAGGCTAAAATTTTAGGGTAATGTTCCCCGTCCATGTGGGTATTAGTGAGCTCAAACCCAGCCCCCTGGCAAGTGTGGTACTCGCGTACGGGCCCACCAAAATTTTTTTTCGGGTAAGTTCATAGCTCGGGGATCTGAGAAGCTAGAAAGTTGGAATCTTAGGGTGATGTTCTCCGTCCATGTGGGTATTAGTGAGCTCAAACCCAGCCTCCTCCCCCCCCCCGAGTAAGTGTGGTACCCGCGCATGGGTCTGCCAAAATTTTTCTCGGGTAAGTTCATAACTCGGGATCTGAGATGCTAGAAAGCTGAAATTTTAAGGAGATATGTCCCGTCCACCTAAATTTCGTTCAGCTCAAACCATACTGTCGGGTATGCGCAGTAAACGCGCACGGGCCCGTGAAAATTTTTTTCTAGTAAGTTGCTAACTCAGGAGCCAGAGAAGCTAGAAAGCTGAAATTTTAAGGGGGTGTTTCCTGACTGTTCTGGCGGTCAGTCTTAATTTGTTTAGCAAGAAGAATTTGACGAAAAATCCGGTGCCGGTAGCAACAAAAACTGCTGGGAACTATGCAAAAAACGCATCTCCGCACGGGCAGCCCGTACGTTGGCCAATTATTTCTTCATAGGTCTATTATCAAGATTTCAAGTTTGTAGCTTGCTCAATGCGAGACAGAGCAAAGGCCGCTTGAAAGCTCCCCCGGCTTTGCTAATTTGGAGTTTTGTATCACAGAAAAGCGCTTAAAATTTTGAGCCTGCGAAACACATCATCCTGGAGTTTTGAAGAAAACCTAAATTTATTTGGAGATCATAGTGTATTAAGCTTCGCTTAGATTTAAATCATGCATTAAACCATCAAAGCTTCTTTAATTTGTGGATTGTTTTTTTTAAGTAATAACTGAGGGCTTAGTCATCGTATATGATAGAAGGTGAACGCCCGGAATAATTTCTCTGGTTTCCGTGAAGCTGAATTACCCGAACAGATAAACACACACACACACACACACATTGCCAATAATGCGCGTTCTGTTTGGACATGCAAAAGCACAAAAAATGCAATTTACTCGCCCTGGTACATCGCTGCTGCTTGAGACACTTTTTTTGGATGTGGCCGCTCCAGCTGATTGTTTAACGGAAAGCACAGAAATTCTATTTGCAGAGAAGTGAGTGGGCTGTAGTTGCTTTTCATTAACTAACTAAGCAGATGTTCGAAGACACGCGAGCTCCGAGTGAAAAAGCTGCGAGGGCTGAATGTGCGGGGCGAGAGCATTCGCCGCTTCAGTTCACCGCATGTGCTTTCGAAAAATGAGCTAAAACTCGAAAACTTCGGGCTTTGATCAGAGGTTTTTTTAAAGAAGCAAATGTGGCAAGCCACTTTTTCATAAATACAAGTTTTACGCCCCATCCGAAAGCGACGTTGTTATGTAGAGCGGAAGGTAACCACTGACCATTTATCATCAAGAATTAATAGCTCTTTTTGGTGGAGTCTCTCACAAACTGTACTTTAGTGCCTCTCCATGTCGCCGGTCGTTCATTTCATTTGTGTATTTTTTTGCCTCTTGTGCGTTATTTACGAAATGATAGCTAGAGAACTGTGGTCAGCAGATGGCGCGAC